TTTTTAGACCAAGAGTATCCACCAACATGGGAAAATCATCCTTTATATTCTCTGCTTCAAAGATATGGGAAACTGTACCCACTTATTTTAAATATATGCCAGTACAATAATTTCAAAAGAGAATGGAAACATCAACTTTTACTCAACCAAACCTGATCATTTTACTTTGCTGCTGATTTACTCTTAAGGAAATATGTAAACTTCAAAAACTTCAACTTTTGTTCAACAAAACCTAATCAGTTTATTTACTTTACTGCTGATACATTTTTATTAAAGGCTGCTATCTATTTATCTATTTGTATGACCATTACGGTGTCCAGCTACAAAGCATTTGCTACTTTGGACACCGTGCACCTCTCAAAGTTATCTTTATAGCCAAATATTACTATTACTTTTCCCTCTTTCTCTTACTTTTCAATGTATATTAACTTCTTTTAATAGTGTGAAATAAATAAAGTTCAAGGTTCAAAGTTCAAAGTTCAAGTTCAAGGTCAAGAGGTACTTAATCCCTCATTTTCCTCTCTATGGTCCGGCTCCAAGATTCCTTTAAGCTATTTTATTCTTCCTAAGGCTCATTAACACTTGACCACTTTAAGTAGTGGCAAACTTTTATTTTTTTATGTCTTTGTGAATGCAATATTCTCAAATTACAATTACAATTTTGTCTCTCTCTCTCTCTCTCTCTCTCTCTCTCTTCCAATAGTGCAGCCTGTCATGCCCACACGCAGGGCACGGGATTTGATTATTTAGCCAATCACGTCTATTTTCGAGGTAACTTTTAATTTTAAGGCGCCCTGCTAGGATATTCTCTGAAATAACTCCCCATCACAAATATTTTTCCTTTACAATGTAGTGATGGCTGAATGAGGAAAAAAAAGGATTATTTTATTAAAAGCTCGTACTGCTAAAAAAGACAGCAACTGCCGTAATATTTACAAGGTACCAATATTCTTCATGTGAAGGAAACTAAAAGTCCTCCTATTTAGATTTTTACATACAAAAACGTATTGTGAGTTTGAAGAGGGAATATACAAGGGCGAAAAAAATTGAAATGACAGCTCATTTCGCATTTTCCATTAATTCGACCAGTATTACAATAAACTAATAGCTTGACCATGATCAGAAGTTTCATAGCAACATTCATTCTGCTGATCGTTTTCAGCGTTGAAAGATCCACTCCCACCCCCACAGGAATCGTGTTCATGATCTCCACTGCTCCCCCTAGAGTAGCCACCTCCGCGTCCAGCTCCTCCGCGCTTTCCATATGGACCAGCACTCCCTCCAAAGCCGCCATCGATGCTGTTCCTCCCTGAAGAAATACTTTGTCACCTTTTCCACCCGTTTCCATACTTCCATCAACCTGCTGCGAACTTCTGCCACTGGAGAAGAGACCTTCTCCTCCACCTCCTAAAACAACAATAAAAGTAATAGGAAAGATATATCCAATTGTTCTCTTTTCTTTTTTTGAGATAGATTGACTGCCACTCTTTAAGGTGCACCTGAGAGCTTTTACCTAATCACAACAATTTAAAAGGAAGAATCTAAGAAAGAGAACTATTAGGAATAAAACTGGGATTGAAGTACAGCTGTGTGTTGTCACAATAAGTCTGCTCACCTGGATTACCACTATCACAATCTGCACCCTGTCGTCGTTAGATATATATGATGCACGATCCTCGCAGTAGATAATAGATAATATATAATATAATATATGAACTTCATATATTTCATTGTATCTGACTTATCACTCTCACGGGTTTATTACGAATCAACTTAACAGCCTGCTTCCAGTTGGCTTGTTAGCTCAATTGGTAGAGCGCTGCACTAGTATCGCAGAGGTCAGTGGTTCAATTCCCGTACAGGCCTCATTTTTTTTAGGTCTGATTTTCGCTATTGCTTAAATAGCGCTATCTACTGCGAGGATCGTGCATCATATGTAAAAAAATTATATATATTTACTTAGCAACAACTTTCCAAAGGAAATAGCTTCTAGAATGTCCCTCGTTTCGGTGACAATCGAAAGGCTACAATTTAACCAAGCGCGCATTGCACTTCGCTTTCATCACTCTAGCTCGGAATCCTAACCGCTACAACTTTTTCCATCTCCAGAAAATCCGGCTTTGCAAGAACAACTATGCAAGCCTAGAGTATTCTTGCAGTCGGCGTTGGCGTCACAGACAAAAACACAGAAACATTACATTCGTCAGCGTCTATGAATAAATGAATCACCACATGAAAACGACGTGGTATAACTCGTTTAATATGATACAAAAAAAAGTTGTTAAGAAAGAAGGTAAAAGTAGGTTAGGCTTTTTTGTTCTCGTATATCCAAAAAAAAAAAAAAAACTAAAATAAAATGAAAACGATAATAAAAAGAGTAAATGGCTCAGGACTGTGGGATTTCGAAACTGGTAACTGAGTCACAATTCCTTGCTTAAGAAGAAGAGTAGTTCTCTTGCATTCTAATCCTTACCGTATAGTAAAAAGCTATTGTTGCTATCGCTCTTTTCAGGTTTCAATGAGCTTCAAAGCAATCTTCACTATCAATTGCCCTCGATCTTCATATCACAGGGAGCCAGCACAGGTACCCCAGGAATGACGAGATTCAGCCGCTGACTGCTTGTTCTCCTTCACTCGCCTTGAATTTTCTACACAAATCAGCTGGCAGCTTTTGAATTGAACCAAGTTGAACTGGAAAGTAAGAAAAGAGCGCAGCATTATTCCTATCCAAAACAGTTCAATGTGTAAATAATTTGGTATTATCAACTGAATAGTTAATGTAAACTTACCACCATAAAGAGTACTTAAAGCCAATTTACGATTACTACTCAGTTGACATGCGCAACACCGAATTATCTTGTAATACCTCCCCTTCCCCAATTACGCCCTTTAACCTGTATGTAAATAGTTTCGCTTTTAGAGGGACTCACCTCTGTTGATATCTCGTCTAAAGCAATATCTCTCAGCGTTGGGTGCAAAATCTTAAAGTCTGGCTTCTTTGGTGCGGTTACTCAGCTCACACTTGTCTTGAATAAAGACGTAGTTGAAGCTTTAGCATATCACGTCACGATAACATTCCCGTAAACGTACAGCGCCATGCGCCGCTCCAGTGATCGTCTTAAAAATGTGTCACTCGCAACGTCTTACCCAAAATTGATTTCTCTTATACTTTAT